CGCACCCAAGTGCAAAACCCCCTCCAAAAAAATAAAGAAAAACGAAGGTAATTTTCTCTGGAATAGGCACTCATTATTTTCTTGGACCCAGGAAAATTAAATTTTTGTTTAATTAAAAGGTGTAATTATCACACAGTTTTCACCACAATCTCAGATAATGGGACATTTTCTTAAGTAGAAAGTCTACGTTTTCTTCCATAAACCTGCAATAGCCTGGTACCCACTGAGACTTCTCAGGTCTCTCTGTTTTTGCCATCTGTGAGTGGCCAGCAAACAGTGGTCAGTCAGAGGGCCCAGTGAGAGACCTAAATTTGTCTTTGATGTCACAGAGCGTGATCTTCAGGATCCCCCCAGCATGCTTATCTTTCTTAAGGAGGTCCCACTCGAGCCACTGGGAAATCACCTATAATGACAGCCAAATGGAATAAGCCCGGCAAAATGCACTTCCATTCCTCTTTAGTAAACTTAGGAGCTCGCTGTCTGGGGGAAAATTTTTTCACTTACAGGTTTCTTTTGATTTTGCTCTCATCACATTTTAAAATGGAATCTAAAAGTCTGGTCAGATGTGCTTGTCCCTCTTTACTCCCAATTTCAATTTTATTTTTCCCTGACTGCTAACTGTTTTTCAGGATTAGTACCTACAGTCTATGAGGTTTCTAATATCCCCAGTTACTAATCTTACCAGTTCTTGTATTGAACCCCACATTTTGCTAAGTTCATCATACATTTCCATTTCTTTGGTCCTTACCTCGACATTCATTTTCAGAGCCCACAATGCAACTATCAGAAACCCAGGCTCAAAAAGAGTAAAGAAAGTGTCTGAGGTCTTCAAAGCTCTCAAATTCAGTGTACCAATAGGATTAGTGAACGCTGAAGGGCTACTCTAAAACTCCTAGAGGAGAACTATAGCTGAGCAACTGCAGAAGGACCTCACAGGAGACAAGTAATAAGTCCCTCTCATTTTAACATCATCCAAGCACTTGGTTTTCAGAGACTCCAATGTCCCACATCCCCCATGCAGACACCCAAACCACAGGGGCATGCAGAAGGAACAGACTACTCAAACCCTCATGCTCTCATTATTTTTGGAGAGGTATTTGCTATGTGGTACATGCGCTCACCAGCAAGAGATAGACAGAGAGACAGAAAGCGAGAAATCACCACCCAAGGTGGAAAACCACATCGCAATTCCTCCTTCTCCATTCTCCTCTCTGGATCTAGATTACGTGTGCATGCACACACACACACACATACACATGGCGTGAGTTTAAGCCACGGGGTCCAAGACTCCCACCCCAGTCGACTAAGTGGGAGTCCAGTGACATAGCCGTTATGCCATCTGCTGGTCCCCACCCTATCATGTTTACATCCAAAGTACATCCAGAGGTGGACAAAAGAACCAGAGATGGGTTATAGGATTAGGTACCTGTTGGTGGTGGAGATGAGAATGTGGTAGGCCATGGCCCTATAAATAGCAATGATGAGAAAGGCTTCAATTAGAATCCAAGAGAAAAAGGCCAAGAAGAAAGATTCTCTGAACCAGGCAATGTTATCAATGATAACCAAAAAGGTACATCAGAGACAAAATGGTGCTTATACTCTATGGCGATTGTTCGCTGCAGTCAACCTGGGGTAAGGTCAAGCAATGTCAGAAAAGGGGTGTCTGTGTGGTGGCATCAGTACCGGGCCACATGGCTCCTACCACCTCATTCAAAACTCCTCTTCTAAAGGATGGTAAAAGCCTATGGAGACAGAATCTCCTACCAACCTTGGGACAGGGAAGGGATCATGTATACATTTGAAATAAGGAGAATCACCAGCCAGGCAAAGTCCAAACAGTAACCTGTCATTTCTTGAGGAGATGAGAGCCACAAAGACAACTTATGGGCCTGCTCCTGTGACTCTCATAAGAAATCATTTGATTCCCCACTCCTTCCCATCCCAAAGTATATGAAGATTTCTCTTCTCACCTTACTCAGGACAGTTCTGGACTTCATTTGACTTCCTTGCTGAGAATGACCCTGGAGAAGAACTTTTACCCCTAGCAGCTCTCAATATCTAAGACTCATGTATCTACATGCCAACTAGGGGGCTAGAACAGCTCTCTCCCAACTAAGGCTATCAAACATGTCAATCTAATGTATGTGGACAGCACAGTTGTCATCATTAACCAATTCCAGAATTCCCTGGGAAAGGTTTATACTCCTTTTGTAAGTTTCACAAACTTACCAAACACAGGCACAATATTTGCTTAGAAAGGACAGATAAATTAAAAATGCCACAGATTCACATAGAGCAGGTGAAGATGGGAACTTAAAAGCTAATGGCAAGACAAAATAAAATTGGACATAGGCATAATACGGAGCAGCTGTCAATAAACTCAGAATGAACTCACTCATGAGTAGGAAGGAAAAGCTGGGTATGACACTGGTATCTTTGGGCTGTGATGATACCACCACAAAAAACTATAGGGCAAAGATAAATGGCCCAGAGCTTCATTAGGGAGCTTAAGCCTGGATAGACACCCCACTCCTTGAGCATCCAACACCTGTCGCACAGGCACCATCTGTCTAAGGGAGAGCACCAGTTTCCAAACTCCGAGTCAAAAGCAAATAGACGTTCAAGAAGCCAGGCCAGGAATGC